TGCTGGGATTACAGGCTTGAGCCACCGCGCCCAGCCCAGTGGAAAAGTTTTAAGGCAGACAGTGGCATGACCAACCTTTTTTCCTTCAACTTTTTTATTATGGAAAATTTCAAACAGAGTAGAGAAAATGGTATGAACCCCATGTACCCTTTTTAGTCAGCTTCAATAATGACCATTATATGGATAATCTTTTCATCTTTATACCCATGTAGTCCCCTACTTCTCAAATTATTTTGAAGTATACCTCAAACCTTATATGATTTCACATGATCATGTTTTAAAAGATTACTCTCAGAGTTCTGTGCAGAATAGATTGTTAGGGGATGGGAATGGAAGCTGAGAGAGGGGGAAGAGACCATTGCAACCATCAAGGAAGGGGAAGATGACCTGAAATATAGTGGTAGGAGTGGGAATGGTAAGGAGTGGTCAAATTCAGGTACACAATATTTTAGACATAGAACTGACAGGAACTGCTGATGGATTAGATGTGGGAGATGAGGGAAAGTGAGACATACCACATTTTTTGGCCTCAGCAACTGGGCATTTGGGTGCCTTTCATTGAGAGGAGGAAGGTTGGGGAGGAGATGTTGAGTGGAGCCCAGAGAGGAACCAGGGCTAGATATATAGATTTGGGAGTCATTAGCTTATTGGCAGCATGGGACTGGGTGAGATCACCTAAGAGATGAAAACAGAGAAGATAAAGGGCCCCAGGCCTAAGCCCTAAGATATTCCATTTCTTAGAGAGCAGGAGGGCAATCATCATTCAGTCCGGGCTTTGGAATTGATAAGCACTGTTCTTAAACAGCTTTGCACACTTCTTATCTACAAGGATAATAGTCCTTCTGAGATAGGGGAGACAAACTAGAGGTAAACAAATTCTCTCTCCTGGATCCTTGTATTGAACTAAATGAACCCTATCTCTCATATCACCTGAGTAACCAAGGCCTTCCTCTTTAACAACTCTGCTTGCTAAATATTGCCTTCTCTAACTATGACGTATAGAGCAAGCTTGTCCAACCTGCAGCCTAGGACATCTTTGAATGCAGCCCAACACAAATTCGTAAACTTTCTTAAAACATCATGAGATTAGGCCAGGCACAGTGGCTCACGCCTGTAATCCCAGGACTTTGGGAGGCCGAGGCAGATGGATCACCTGAGGTTGGGAGTTTGAGACCAGCCTGGCCAACATGGTGAAACCCCATCTCTACTAAAAATACAAAATTAGCCGAGTGTGCTGGTGCACACCTGTAATCCCAGCTATTTGGGAGGCTGAGGCAGAAGAATCACTTGAACCTGGGAGGCGGAGGTTGCAGTGAGCAGAGATTGCACCATTGCACTCCAGCCTGGGCAAAAAAAGCGAAACTCCACTAAAAAAATAAGAGAGATTTTTTTGTGATTTTATTTTTATAGTTTATGAGCCATTATTAGCGTTGTTAGTTTTTTTGTTTGTTTGTTTTTAGACAGAGTTTTGCTCTTTTTGCCCAAGCTGGAGTGCAATGGCGCAATCTCGGCTCACTGCAACCTCTGCCCCCTGGGTTCAAGGGATTCTCCTGACTCAGCCTCCAGAGTAGCTGGGATTACAGGCACCCGGCACCATGCCCAGCTAATTTTTTGTATTTTTAGTAGAGACAGGGTTTCACTATGTTGGCCAGGCTGGTCTTGAACTCCAGACCTCAGTTGATCTGCCCGCCTCGGCCTCCCAAAGTGCTGGGATTACAGACGTGAGCCACCACACCCAGCCAGTGTTAGTGTATTTTATGTGTATCCCAAGACAATTCTTCTTCTTCCAGTGTGGCCCAGGAAGCCAAATGATTGCATACCCCTGGTATAGAGCTTAGACTCAGTGAGATTTGAGGCTCAAACCATAGCCAATCTCTACCCTCAACCCAGCTTCAATTTCCTTTCAAAGCAGAGGCCTTACCCACCTTCCTCAGCTAAAGGGGTTAGGAGAAGACATGGCCTGAGGGAACCCAGGCAGCATTACAGTCCCATGGAAAGATGGCCCCTGAATCCCTGGGGTAAGTAGATTGCTGTAAGGGAAGAGCCAGACCCGAGCCTATCTTGTCCTCACCTCAGGTGTTCCAGGGTGGTCAGCCGATCTCCACCACTCAGGTTGCCTTCCCAGAGCCTCAGACCAATGCCCCAGCATTATGGAGATGTCTTCTGGAAGAATCTCAGTCAAAGGCCCAGGTGAGTAGAGAAGAAAATGGAGTCTAATTGGATGTAGGAAGTTGAGGCTGTACAATTTTAAACTACCACAAATCCATATAGCAATAAGCCCTAGTCTGGGGTTCTCACTGGCTGATGGACATTATAGCTCCTAATGACAGAAAGGAGGTTGGGAGAGATCATTAAAGAAGCAATTTGGATGGACGTATCCCCTCTGCACTTATAGCCCCCTTTTTGTTCTTCACAGCCCCAGCTGGATGGAGGAACAGCACATTCCACCCAAGCTGGTAAGACAGACCCTCTGCCCCTCAACACTTCTTTGTTAAAATTGCACCCACAGCTATCCTATCCCAAACTCTCCTTATTACTGCGTGCTTCTGTTATTCCCCAACCAGTGCACTGACCAGGCCTTCCTTTCTATGAATCAGTCATCATGTTTTCCAGATCACAGGAATCTTCCCAAGATCCCCAGACTCCCTACCTAGTTCAAAGCAAGCTCCCCTGAGAGAGCCAGTTCTTTCCTCTAGCTCTTTTTCCCCATTCTCTGGCACAGAGAACCACTGATTGCTCCCAGCTTGGTCTGTACCCTCCTGAGCAGCTCCCACCCCCTGAGATGCTTTGCAGAAGAAAGAAGAGGAGGCTGTGTTTGGAAGGAATGCCACAGGGATTTGGGGGGGTCCCCGCCCGGGTGAGGGCTGTCACTTACCACCTGGAGGACCTAAGAAGGCGTCAGAGCATCATAAATGAGTAAGGAAGGGAGACATCTGGGTTCTGGGACTCACGCAGGGTTTGGGGGCAGAACAGTTTGAGCTAAGGAAGGGGTTGAGAGCTTTGAGGGGACTGGACGTTGCTTGGGAGGAAGCTGTGGGCTTTGGTATGATTGAAACAGATTTCTGTAATATGGAAAGAAAGAGGGAACTGCGATATGGAGGATGAGCCACATAAGCTGGAAGGATTAGAAACTGGATCACTGAAGACAGGAAAGCAAACCATAGAACTGGATGACAGTGGGGAGGTTGGGGTCACCTCTGGGTTCCTAGACAAAATGCTTCAGTTCTGAGGGGAGCAGAAAATTTGGGAGGGGAGAGTTAGAGGTCAAATGACAACACCCTTGAGTTCCAGCAGGAAGTATTTCAGAACAGAAAAGTGAAGAATGGAGAGACAGGAAGCCTGGCCTCCAGGCTCCTCTCTCCTCAGCCTAAAGTCTCCACAGACTGAAGAAGGCCCAGTGGGGTAGCTCTGGGGCTGCATCTGAGCCAGTGGTGCTTGGCAAAGAGGGCTGTGGATTCCCCAGCACCAATGAATACCCTGATCTGGAAGAGGAGAGGGCAACCTATCCACAGGAAGAGAACCATTTTCTCACTCCTGGCAGAGCCCAGGTATGGTTGGAGTGGAACTGGGTGGAGTGAGAGGGAATTATGAGGGCCTCTGATCTTGCATGGAGAGGCAGCAGAAGCCGAGAGCCAGGTTAGATAGCTGGATTTGAGAGAAACAACAACAACATAGGTGAGAGCCAGAGACTTGGAGACTAGGAAATCTGGAGAAAGACCTACTTTTCCATTCTCTTTTTCAATTTCTCTCATCTTTACAGCTGCTTTGGTCTCCCTGGAGTCCCCTGGGTCAGGAGGAGGCTTGTGCCTTCAGGCAGCCACGCTCTCTGGCCTCCTTCAGCACTGTCACAGCCAGGAGGAACCCCCTGCACAATCCCTGGGGGATGGAGTTGGAGTCTGAAGAGTAAGGAGATCTGATGCCAAGATGATAGTGGTGCCTCGGGAACCCAAGACTAGTGCGGCACTGGAACAACCCCATCGCTGACATGAAGGTGTTTCCCCTTCCTTTGCCTCTCCAACTGCCTTTCCGAGTCTCTGAACTAGGCATTAACAGCCTCCTCCCCCACCCCGGGCTCCCATCTCAACCCACCGCTCTCACAAGAGCACCCCCAAGTCCTGTTTTCCTCTAGGCCCCGCTCCCGGCCTTGTGTTCTCTCTGCTCTGTTATTAAAAAGCAAGCAAGTGGAGCCTGAGTCATCTTTCTTCCTGGGAAGCAGTGATGGAGAGGCCAATTGAGGAGGGTTCCTTTCACTTTCTCGAGGACCCAACTACGGTGAAGTCGGGCTGGGTTCCTGAATTCAAGGAGTCTTGTCCGAGGCGAGAAGGGTCCTGCTCCCCGTCCAGCGTTCCTCGCCCAGCCCCTAGGGCTCCAGCACTGGACCGTTGGCCCCGTTTCATTCTCTGGGATGGGGCATCAGTCTGCCGAGCTTCCGCCTTCAGGACCCTGGAATCCTGGCCCTCAGCGTTGCTGCCCTTTTGGGGACTTCCCAGCAGTCTGTCCCTCGGCCTGGCTCAGAGCCCTAGAAGCCGAGTCCCTCTGCCCAGTGCCCCACCCAGAACCCCACGTGTGCTGACCCCAGGTTCCCTTCCTGACCCCATCCCCTTAATTGGGAGGCCCCGCCCCGCCCCGTGCGCAGTGACGTCGGACGCCGCTGTCAGCCGGCGCTGGGGGGTGTCGGTGTGGGGTAGAATGGCCGCTGCCGCCGTCACCCGCGGGACCCCTGGAGGTAAGAGCCAGGGCCTCTCGCCCGTCTCTCCGCCCCCGCGCCAGGGGGCGCAGCTCCCTCAGGTCCCAACACGGAGCGCCGCGCCGGGGACCACCGTCCCTACTCTCGGTTCGCCCTCACCTCCCGCTTCCGTCCTCCTCCCCCGCGCCAGGGGGCGCCGCTCCCCGCAGGGCCCCACGGCGAACCAGCGCGTGCCGGGCTGTCCCGGGGACCCCGCACCCGGCACCCGCACTGTCCCTCGCCCACTCCGTGCCCGCGGACTCTGCTCCCGGCTTCTCCAGAACATCCCTCTGTGCGGGCCGGACCCTCCCACCTTGGAGGTTCTCCTGGGACCACCACCCCGCCGGGGGGCCGCCCAGAATGCCAAGCGTCCGATCCGGCGCTGCCCCAAGGCCTGCAGCCCAAGGACCCGCTCCCGCTCCGCACCCTGGCAGGCTGCCTAGCTGGGACTGCGCACCTGCGCCCTGGGGCGGAGTCCTTACCCCAACCTCAGCTTCACTGCACACAGCTGAGCCCTACGGGCCTCCTCCCCTCACCATCCTGGACACCTGGCGGAGCCCGTGTTGAGAGCCTCCTCCAGCTCCCATCTGTTCCTCCAGGAGGGCGGGGGGTGGGGGGGGCTCAGGCTGGAACCAGAGCCGTAGATGGGGTAGGCTAGGCTTGGAGGCCAGGGGAGGCAGAGGCGTTTGGGGAGAGGGACGTACAGAGGGCTGTGAGCCAGAGGACTGATTGTCCTGAGGGTGGGAAGCTGGGTGTCTGGCCCAGATTCTGCGAGGCCCTAACCAACTTGGAGGAGAGAATAGGTTAGGCTCAGTTATCAGATCAGCCCTTCCTCTTGGAAAAATCAAATAGAGAAGGAACTCAGGGTGTGTCTTCTAAAGGCCTAGCTCTCTACTGGAGGTAGAATCTCCTGCCCTGCCCCGAGGATCCAGGCTGTCTTGCCAAACCACCCTCCAAGGACTGGGTGGCCTGAGTCCCAATCCCCAAGACCTGACCCAACCGTAGCCCCAGTCTGTGCAAAAGCTCAAGCTTTAGGGCCTCCGAGGCCCCAGCCCTGCTAGTCTTCTCCCCTCCCCCACCCCAACCCATTTCTTCCTGGTCACTCTCTCTGTTCTGTATCCTCACTCATGTTGGCTCCGGGCACTGTGTCTGGTTCTCCCTTATACTGTCACATCATAGTTAGTCCCTTCCTCTCTTTCCTCATCCTTCCCAGATACCATGACCTAGTTCTATATTCATTCCCCACCTCATACATCTCATCCAGGATTAATGTGGGGTTTCTGCCATGACCTTGTTCTCTCCCTTCCCAGCACAGACTCCCCCTCCCCCCGGCCCCTCAGGCCGGGGGTGACCTTGCCCCTTGGAGCCCTCACCATGAATACCAAGGACACCACTGAGGTTGCTGGTAAGTTCACAAACCAGGTTTCCAATTGGGTCACAGCCTTTCGTTCTCCCCATCTAATTCTTGGATTCCCTGTTCTCCTTAGCAAGGTTTCGTTTTCCCCAGTGCTCTGTATCACCTTCAGCCCCTTCCCCCAGGGCTGTCACAGGGGTGCCCCGGGGTGGCACACTAAGCCCTCCCTTCTAATTCCCTTTAGAAAACAGCCACCACCTGAAGATCTTTCTCCCCAAGAAGCTGCTGGAGTGTCTTCCTCGCTGCCCGCTGCTGCCTCCAGAGAGGCTACGGTGGAATACAAATGAGGTTTTCTAGGGAGGCTGGGGTTGGGGCCCAGCAAGACCTAGTGGGCTGGAGGAGGGTGAGTGGGGGGTCTCTCTATCTGTCGACACTCCTAAGTGCAGAGCTCCACTCTTTGGGGATCATAGCAGAGGTATAAAGACATGGATCTTGGCTGGACGCAGTGGCTCATGTCTGTAACCCCAACACTTTGGAAGTCCGAGGCGGATTGATCACCTGAGGTCAGGAGTTCAAGACCAGCCTGGCCAACATAGTGAAATCCCATCTCTACTAAAAATACAAAAAATCAGCCAGGCATGGTGATGCATGCCTGTAATCCCAGCTACTCAGGAGGCTGAGGCAGGAGAATCGTTTGATCCTGGGAGGCAGAGGCTGCAGTGAGCTCAGATCACACCACCGCTCTCCAGCCTGGGTGACAGA